CCATGTTTTCCATGTTTCAAGTAAACCTTTCAATGGAGGAATGAGCTTATGTTGTCAAAACAGCGTTTTTATAGGTGGCTCAGGCGAAAATCCTTTGATCTTCACCAAAATTTCCGCAGAAATGACGCATTTGATCGTGATTTACAAACGTTATTTACAAGGGTCATCGGCGGTGTATACGATTATTCCGACCTGAAAAAAATATTCCGCGCTTATTCCGCACTTATTCCGCAGTGTTTCCGAAGTTCTTCCCCAGCATCTGGATTAGTAACATAACATAACGTAGTATTGCTCGCATGTTCCGCGTTTTCCGAGTGTGTTCTGCAAATTATCCGAATGTTTTCTGTTGTAATCTGTACTTGTTCCTAGGTGTCCCATAGTTTCTCTGTGGTATTGTCTGCTGCTTCGCCTAGGTTTTGCCGTCGTTTTGTCGGATGTGTTCCAAAGAATCCGTAACCCGAAGGTATTACGAAGGAGTATCAATTTGGATTTTTCAGAGGCATTTTGTCCAATTTTCCTGCGGAACAATACCTAAACACGCCTGCAGACTCCATTCTGCGCACATCCGCGAAGGTCCTTCCGCGCCAAAGCCCAGTGAAATAGGGGTATAACGTATACAAAATATAGTCAAATATATGTATCTATCCTATGAAAGGATATTTGTGAATGTGTATTGTTTTGAAATATATAATGTTTTGGTTGCATGTGACCTTTAATTATGTTTAAGGTGAGTGTGCAAACAATGCAATGTATAAAATACCTTAAATATAGCAGTGAAAGTCGGTAAAATAAATGCGAACATAGTGAACTCAAAAACAGCTAATCAAACTGCTTTCGTCATACGATTGTTAGTGATACACCTTCCCCACAGAGAGGGCGGTGGGGTAGCCTAGTGGTTAAAGCGTTGGCTCGTCACGCCGAGCACCCGGGTTCGAATCCCCACATTGGTACTATGTGTGAAGCCCATTTCTGGTGTCCCCCGCCGTGATATTGCTGGAATATTGCTAAAAGTGGCGTAAAACCAAACTCAGTCAGTCAGTCAGTCCCCACAGAGAGTTTGGCGGTTACTGTGGCAGTGGGTAATATTTTTTCAAGTTGTCACGCTCCTGTGAGGGCTGACACGAAAACATGTTAAAGCGTGAAACACAAGCAGGGAGTCACCTCAATAGGAAAACACATCAAACCTGGAAGATTACTCGAAAAGCGACCTACAAATCAGAAACATGACCGTGACGAATGTTTTCCGTTGTAATCTGTACTCGTTCCTAGGTGTCCCATAGTTACTCTGTGGTATTTTCTGCCGCCTAGGTTTTGCTGTCGTTTTGCTGTATGTGTTCCAAAGAATCCGTAAATGTTCCGAAAGTATTTCGAAAGGAGTATCAATTTCCATTTTTCCGTGGCATTTTGTCCAATTATCCTGCGGGAAAATACCAAAACTCGTCTGCAGACTCCATTTTGCGCACATCCGTGAAGGTCCTTCCGCACCGAAGCCCAGTGAAATAGGGGTATAACGTATACAAAATATAGTCAAATATATGTATCTATCCTATGAAAGGATATTTGTAAATGTGTATTGTTTTGAAATATATTATGTATGCATTTTGTCCAATTTTCCTGCGGAACAATACCTAAACTCGTCTGCAGACTCCATTCTGCACACATCCGCGAAGGTCCTTCCGTGCCAAAGCCCAGTGAAATAGGGGTATAAGGTATACAAAATATAGTCAAATATATGTATCTATCCTATGAATGGATATTTGTGAATGTGTATTGTTTTGAAACATATTATGTATGCAGTATTCTGTGGAAATAAAGATGGAAAAAAAGAAAAAAGAGAGTTTTCACTCTCCAATGCCATAGGGAACATGAGAGTGGCTGAGTTTTATACCACGTCTATCAGTAATCCAATTGTATGGAATCGAACCTGGGTCTTTATCGCGAGTGAACGCATTAACCCACTAGCCTACCCACCGCCATGGAGAACATTAGTAGTGAATATGCTTGAGAATATGTTTCTTGTGCCATACACAATGACATGTTTGCATTTTGAACATGGTTTTGGAGACCGACATGAAAAACGTGGGCATAATATAAGTTGTATGCTTCTTTCGAGCGTAATACGTACGGTCTGCATACAACGTATTTATCTTACCGCCATCTTAAATGTACAAAAAATCATTTGATTTTGAAGATCGATAAGCTTGCTACCGACTATATGACATGTAAACATGGTGTCTGCCTCTCGACTGGATTTTTAAAATCAGTGAAACATAATCTGACAAGCTTAAAACTGCTATAAAATGGTTAAAGGTCACATGCAACGTAAAACACAACTTTGCAGATTCTGATACCTTTCGGTATGGACTTACCGAAACAAATCATCAAAAATGCAAATTCAACTTATAAAGTTGAAAAATAACGCGATGAAAAACCGCGCGAAATCGGAGTTCAAACGTTTCACTAATTTTCCCCAGACTTTCTGGGAAAACGGGTTTCAACAGCTGGGCTGCGCTTTATAGCACGTGCGCAGTGAAGTAGGTTTGCGCAGCTTGGAAGCGGGTTGTCCGGTGAATACCGGTGAAGGCTTTGGTGTGAGCTATTTTTCTAATGTTTTGTTGATATCTCACAGGCGCAAGCTTTTTATATGTTATGACAGTAAATTAACAGTTTATATAATTTCATTTGTCTATTTCACCACACGTTCTTCTTACCGAGTCACTTTCTCAGTTCTATACTTAAAAGCAATGTCATTATTTAGCGTTGACAGAATTTCCCACTGTGATATAGATATGTCGTTGTCACAGACTAAACTCAATGTCTTGTTTCATTGACACCTGTGTGTCTGCCTGCCTGTCTGCTAATGACAATATTCAATACACAGCTGCTATCACTGACCACATGCAATTTGAACTTAACACCAATCAGGCTATACACCAGAAACAAAATGCATTGATTTATGGCCCGAGTTCGGTCTCTGTCACATTATGTAATTACACAGACAGGCAGTTGTGATACTTGAACACATGACATGTTATGATGTCTGTTGATTGCAAAATGTTATACACAAAAAATGAGCATGTATTTACAAAACCCAACATCTCTATATATACACACACATTGACCCGTGAGGGCATCTGCAAATGAACCAGTCGTTACACTTGAGTGCACACCCACCCGCTCTGACTGGGTTCGGTATCCCGGCTGCTTCGTTTCTTGGGAAGTAAACCGAAGTACACAATATTGCACTTTTGATTTGCGATTGGACGCTTATAATTTTGTTTATATGTTTTTTCATAACCAGCAATGTATATTATATATCATGAATAAGTGATAATTGTGTTTTAATTATGTTTGGATTTTTGGTTGCATGTGACCTTTAATTATGTTTAAGGTGAGTGTGCAAACGATGCAATGTATAAAATACCTTAAATATAGCAGTGAAAGTCGGTAAAATAAATGCGAACATAGTGAACTCAAAAACAGCTAATCAAACTGCTTTCGTCATACGATTGTTAGTGATACACCTTCCCCACAGAGAGGGCGGTGGGGTAGCCTAGTGGTTAAAGCGTTGGCTCGTCACGCCGAGCACCCGGGTTCGAATCCCCACATTGGTACTATGTGTGAAGCCCATTTCTGGTGTCCCCCGCCGTGATATTGCTGGAATATTGCTAAAAGTGGCGTAAAACCAAACTCAGTCAGTCAGTCAGTCCCCACAGAGAGTTTGGCGGTTACTGTGGCAGTGGGTAATATTTTTTCAAGTTGTCACGCTCCTGTGAGGGCTGACACGAAAACATGTTAAAGCGTGAAACACAAGCAGGGAGTCACCTCAATAGGAAAACACATCAAACCTGGAAGATTACTCGAAAAGCGACCTACAAATCAGAAACATGACCGTGCCGAATGTTTTCCGTTGTAATCTGTACTCGTTCCTAGGTGTCCCATAGTTACTCTGTGGTATTTTCTGCTGCTTCGCCTAGGTTTTGCTGTCGTTTTGCTGTATGTGTTCCAAAGAATCCGTAAATGTTCCGAAAGTATTTCGAAAGGAGTATCAATTTCCATTTTTCCGTGGCATTTTGTCCAATTATCCTGCGGGAAAATACCAAAACTCGTCTGCAGACTCCATTTTGCGCACATCCGTGAAGGTCCTTCCGCACCGAAGCCCAGTGAAATAGGGGTATAACGTATACAAAATATAGTCAAATATATGTATCTATCCTATGAAAGGATATTTGTAAATGTGTATTGTTTTGAAATATATTATGTATGCATTTTGTCCAATTTTCCTGCGGAACAATACCTAAACTCGTCTGCAGACTCCATTCTGCACACATCCGCGAAGGTCCTTCCGTGCCAAAGCCCAGTGAAATAGGGGTATAAGGTATACAAAATATAGTCAAATATATGTATCTATCCTATGAATGGATATTTGTGAATGTGTATTGTTTTGAAACATATTATGTATGCAGTATTCTGTGGAAATAAAGATGGAAAAAAAGGAAAAAGAGAGTTTTCACTCTCCAATGCCATAGGGAACATGAGAGTGGCTGAGTTTTATACCACGTCTATCAGTAATCCAATTGTATGGAATCGAACCTGGGTCTTCAACGCGAGTGAACGCATTAACCCACTAGCCTACCCACCGCCATGGAGAACATTAGTAGTGAATATGCTTGAGAATATGTTTCTTGTGCCATACACAATGACATGTTTGCATTTTGAACATGGTTTTGGAGACCGACATGAAAAACGTGGGCATAATATAAGTTGTATGCTTCTTTCGAGCGTAATACGTACGGTCTGCATACAACGTATTAATCTTACCGCCATCTTAAATGTACAAAAAATCATTTGATTTTGAAGATCGATAAGCTTGCTACCGACTATATGACATGTAAACATGGTGTCTGCCTCTCGACTGGATTTTTAAAATCAGTGAAACATAATCTGACAAGCTTAAAACTGCTATAAAATGGTTAAAGGTCACATGCAACGTAAAACACAACTTTGCAGATTCTGATACCTTTCGGTATGGACTTACCGAAACAAATCATCAAAAATGCAAATTCAACTTATAAAGTTGAAAAATAACGCGATGAAAAAACCCGCGCGAAATCGGAGTTCAAACGTTTCACTAATTTTCCCCAGACTTTTCTGGGGAAAACGGGTTTCAACAGCTGGGCTGCGCTTATAGCACGTGCGCAGTGAAGTAGGTTCGCGCAGCTTGGAAGCGGGTTGTCCGGTGAATACTCGGTGAAGGCTTTGGTGTGAGCTATTTTTCTAATGTTTTGTTGATATCTCACAGGCGCAAGCTTTTTATATGTTATGACAGTAAATTAACAGTTTATATAATTTCATTTGTCTATTTCACCACACGTTCTTCTTACCGAGTCACTTTCTCAGTTCTATACTTAAAAGCAATGTCATTATTTAGCGTTGACAGAATTTCCCACTGTGATATAGATATGTCGTTGTCACAGACTAAACTCAATGTCTTGTTTCATTGACACCTGTGTGTCTGCCTGCCTGTCTGCTAATGACAATATTCAATACACAGCTGCTATCACTGACCACATGCAATTTGAACTTAACACCAATCAGGCTATACACCAGAAACAAAATGCATTGATTTATGGCCCGAGTTCGGTCTCTGTCACATTATGTAATTACACAGACAGGCAGTTGTGATACTTGAACACATGACATGTTATGATGTCTGTTGATTGCAAAATGTTATACACAAAAAATGAGCATGTATTTACAAAACCCAACATCTCTATATATACACACACAATGACCCGTGAGGGCATCTGCAAATGAACCAGTCGTTACACTTGAGTGCACACCCACCCGCTCTGACTGGGTTCGGTATCCCGGCTGCTTCGTTTCTTGGGAAGTAAACCGAAGTACACAATATTGCACTTTTGATTTGCGATTGGACGCTTATAATTTTGTTTATATGTTTTTCATAACCAGCAATGTATATTATATATCATGAATAAGTGATAATTGTGTTTTAATTATGTTTGGATTTTTGGTTGCATGTGACCTTTAATTATGTTTAAGGTGAGTGTGCAAACGATGCAATGTATAAAATACCTTAAATATAGCAGTGAAAGTCGGTAAAATAAATGCGAACATAGTGAACTCAAAAACAGCTAATCAAACTGCTTTCGTCATACGATTGTTAGTGATACACCTTCCCCACAGAGAGGGCGGTGGGGTAGCCTAGTGGTTAAAGCGTTGGCTCGTCACGCCGAGCACCCGGGTTCGAATCCCGACATGGGTACTATGTGTGAAGCCCATTTCTGGTGTCCCCCGCCGTGATATTGCTGGAATATTGCTAAAAGTGGCGTAAAACCAAACTCAGTCAGTCAGTCAGTCCCCACAGAGAGTTTGGCGGTTACTGTGGCAGTGGGTAATATTTTTTCAAGTTGTCACGCTCCTGTGAGGGCTGACACGAAAACATGTTAAAGCGTGAAACACAAGCAGGGAGTCACCTCAATAGGAAAACACATCAAACCTGGAAGATTACTCGAAAAGCGACCTACAAATCAGAAACATGACCGTGCCGAATGTTTTCCGTTGTAATCTGTACTCGTTCCTAGGTGTCCCATAGTTACTCTGTGGTATTTTCTGCTGCTTCGCCTAGGTTTTGCTGTCGTTTTGCTGTATGTGTTCCAAAGAATCCGTAAATGTTCCGAAAGGATTTCGAAAGGAGTATCAATTTCCATTTATCCGTGGCATTTTGTCCAATTATCCTGCGGGAAAATACCAAAACTCGTCTGCAGACTCCATTTTGCGCACATCCGTGAAGGTCCTTCCGCACCGAAGCCCAGTGAAATAGGGGTATAACGTATACAAAATATAGTCAAATATATGTATCTATCCTATGAAAGGATATTTGTAAATGTGTATTGTTTTGAAATATATTATGTATGCATTTTGTCCAATTTTCCTGCGGAACAATACCTAAACTCGTCTGCAGACTCCATTCTGCACACATCCGCGAAGGTCCTTCCGTGCCAAAGCCCAGTGAAATAGGGGTATAAGGTATACAAAATATAGTCAAATATATGTATCTATCCTATGAATGAATATTTGTGAATGTGTATTGTTTTGAAACATATTATGTATGCAGTATTTTGTGGAAATAAAGATGGAAAAAAAGGAAAAAGAGAGTTTTCACTCTCCAATGCCATAGGGAACATGAGAGTGGCTGAGTTTTATACCACGTCTATCAGTAATCCAATTGTATGGAATCGAACCTGGGTCTTTATCGCGAGTGAACGCATTAACCCACTAGCCTACCCACCGCCATGGAGAACATTAGTAGTGAATATGCTTGAGAATATGTTTCTTGTGCCATACACAATGACATGTTTGCATTTTGAACATGGTTTTGGAGACCGACATGAAAAACGTGGGCATAATATAAGTTGTATGCTTCTTTCGAGCGTAATACGTACGGTCTGCATACAACGTATTTATCTTACCGCCATCTTAAATGTACAAAAAATCTTTTTATTTTGAAGATCGATCAGCTCGCTACCGACTATACGACATGTAAACATGGCGTCTGCCTCTCGACTGAATTTTTAAAATCAGTGAAACATAATCTGACAAGCTTAAAACTGCTTTAAAATGCTTCTGCGAGGGCTGACACGGAAACCTGTTAAAGCGTGAAACACAACAAGCAGGGATTCACCTCAATAGGAAAACAAATCAAACCTGGAAGAATAATCGAAATACGACCGACAAATCAGAAACATGACCGTGCCATGGGTATTACTGGAAAATCTGTTGCAGAAATTGCACGAGCCTGGGCTGTCAGACTATACTCAGTCTGAGGACCCATGTGCAACAGACGGGCTCCGTTGCAGATCACTCATGCCCTGTGGTGCCGCAAGAGATTTGTTTGTTGGTTGTTGTTTAACGCCGCACTCAACAATATCCAGCTATATGGCGGCGGTTTGTAAATAATCGAGTGTGGACCAGATAATCCAGTGATCAACATCACGAGCATCAACCTTCACAATTGGGATACGATGACATGTGTCAATCAAGTCTGCGAGCTAAACCACCAGATCCCGTTAGTCGCCTTTTACAAGCATGGGTTACTGAAGACCAATTCTAACTCGGATCTCCACATGTCCTGCAAGTCAAAACATTGACTACACAACAGTCTCGTTTCCTGCTGACTGGGTTATTTTGAGACCAATTAACTCAACTGGATACATAAATAATAATCAGTATTATTTGATACATCTAAGCACTTGTATATTGCTACACTACGCTCCTTCTAATCCTTGAAAACACGTCGTGCAGCGTGCTCTGTCGTACAGCGTGCTCTGACAAACGGAAATCTGGAAATCGTGAAAATCTCAAAACGAGGCCCTGCCGCTAGAAAAGTTTGGCGGTCTGGTACGCCCTTGATATTATATCAATTACATTGTGCATTACAAAACTACACCGAATAAGCACGAAAAACACATAACAGGTGTAACCAGTGAGCCAGATGAATTGTAAATCATTTTACGACCTCATGAAACAGGGGCAGTCTGTGACGTCTTAGTTAAGGTCATGCTGCCTACACCTCGCCATAAAATATAGAAATACGATGTTGTTCAAGTATAAAATTAATATTAACTTGTAAATACCAATTTCTGATGAAACAAGAAATTGGAATTCAGTGTAACCATAGTTACCATGAATGTACCTGCGTACAAAATTTCCAGAAAATAATAGAAACTGAAAATTGCTAAATAAATGGAAAACTATATTGGGTAAAGACTGCAAGCCGTTATTATTTTATGTACCTGTTTTAAATTATCAGTGTGGAGATCATTTCACAAACATAAAAACTGAAGGATGGGTGTGGAAAGAGTGGGGGAAAACATGTGCAAAGTCACTGAGTCAACTGAGATTATCCTTCAAAAACATCATATGTACATTTAACAATCACTTATCATTAAGTGCAACCAAAGCACTACAAAAACGCCATATTTTCAAACAGCATAACATCACCTTTGGCTGTAACCCGAACCTAGACAAACAACTAGTCTCTGAAATGAACATATTTTACTGGAAAAAAATTCATAGTAAAAAAAAAAAAATTAATGGAAAGGAGCCCTGAGACTTCTTCATTTTCAGAGACTAAACAAATCTGCAGAGGATAATTTCTTGGAATTTCACAACATGTACAAAGGTTCTTATCACCCATTACTGCTTTAATTGTGTGTGACAGGAATATTTACTGCCCCCACCGCCTTCTGGTCCTACTGCCAGCGTAATCACACATGTTGTTTGTCTGGAGTGAGAGGACAGGCAGAAGCAGGAGGTCTTGGCTCAGTGTGGGGTCTTGGGGAGTGGTGGGGGAGGCTCCCCATGAGTTAATATTAAACACTAGTGACAGCTAGAGATCAACAGATAATTACAAGCCATATTCTGGCTTGTGAATTCAGCAGATTGGTACAGACCCTGAAGCTGAGGAAATCTAGACTTGCCACATTTTCTAGACTTGCGTGGGCTTTCTTGGATATATTTGCTTCAGGGTCTGTATGGCAGACTAACCCGAACCCTGCAGTGAGTTTTAACAGACGCTGAACCTGGGAATATGTAGATATGCTTCATTTAGGGCGTAAGCATTACAGTAAGGGCTGGGCGGAAGGGGAAATAATATCGTTCTTTGATTATGATTAAACAGAGACCATATAACAGACTAATGTATGGTCTCTGGATACAGATTGGGACTAGATATGGAAAACAAACTATTTGGACAACAGACCATTGTTTGGGTCTTTTAATTGGAAATATGATTCAAATAGCTTATCCTAGATTTTGATATCTTTCGAATGTACATTTGGTTGAAATTGGAAAGTATACTTGTATCCCGTGACAAGAACGAATACTTAATAATTCAAAAGCATAACAGCACGAGTATCCATTTTGTCTTTTGTCTTCAACCCGTCCCGCTCAATCACATGACATGTGTCTCCAGCTCACGGAGCATCAGTGGTTTAAGGGCCCGTATTGCAATTCGCAGCATGGTCGCCTTGTAACATCACTATTTGATTATGATTCACAAACACATGCTCATGATATGGTTGGAATCGTGCCCTGGATTAGCAAATATTTATAATGAAGGTTTTTTTATGTAGGTGGCTTGAAACGCGCTTTGACAAAAGTCTATAGGTTCTATCACATTAATGTTCGTTTTACAGCTTCTTTTCTCTAAACATGCTCACGCCAAAACTGATTTAAATTCTAATCGCAGATAAAAGAATATGACAATAAATAGTATGCCAAATTATCGTTACCATGACAACCCTGTGATATTTCACCTTATGTAAGAGAAAAATAAATACGATGCTGGGTATGGCAGTACTTATGCAGATGATAGTGTATGTCGCAAATTTCAATAAGTTGCTGCAGCCATATCCCTAATCACTGGATATCCATACAAATATATGTGTGATGGAGGAGAACATGCGTAGCTACTTTTCTCAATAATCTGAATACATGTATGTAGCGTGAAACCGGCAGATACCTGTAGAAGAAAGTGTTTGCCCTACCTGTAACAACCATGTCCCGAGTCTATAAAGGGATATAATGTGGGAATGAATGACATGTACTTTTATCTGAGCCCGTTTATGATGATACATATTGCGATCTTTCACAATAATCTCACTGGCTATCAGATTGAGGGTACTTTTCAAACATAAATATTATTGTATTTATACAGCAACATTCTTCGAACTTTCTCCATATACGTCCGCCAGATACATCGCACACTACTCCTTTCTCTCTTGATCTTCTCAAAGGACTGTTGTAAGTTCGAAGAATCCTGGTCAAAGTAGAAAAGTCTTAAGACTATTCCCTACAAATCTGTAACATACACATTGTACCATAAATGGGTAGAGCTTCCGTTCGGGGGTATATCAGGAGGACAACGATACCAATGTCTCCAATGTTGTAGAAAGCACTTCACCTTAGGAAAACAATTACCCACCGAGATATTGCATTCTTGTTGGAATCAATATTTTCGGCACCTGTCAGAGCTGAACTTGAACATGCGAGGTCTGCGTCTATGTCAGGTTAAAGGTCTGCAAGATGTTTAGCAACACTGGGGCGTAATAGTCATAGGCCTGCTCCAAACAACGGAATATATATCTTGTGAGGACTTCTCCGACAGGGAAAATTACAGCAATGCAACATCACATTTACTTGTGTGACATTTGCTTTCGGAATCTGGGTTTATGGATCGTAAATTTACACAGGACAATCAAGACGAATTTTACAGAAGGCACAGAGGTCCAACATGCCAATGGTATACCCAGAGAACGCACCCGCCTGTGCTATCCGGTCATAATCGCTTCAGGATAACAACTATTTTTCATTTCATGTCTCACATAATATATAATTTGATATGGCATTGTTTGTTATCGTATACGTTTGTGTTAATGAAAGAAATGTGGACAACTTTAAGTTCTTGTGTGGCGTTATTACAGCAAAGGCTAAGCGGAAGGAGAAATACCATGGTTCAGGCACTGTGAGACTATTAAGAAAGGTCACATGCAGTGCAATAATATTCCAATTATGTACTGCCAAAAACTATATTACAGTACTGATGCGCGAGTTGAAGAGACTTAAGAAATTACGAGTTGGTTCGTGTAGCGTATTTGGCCGTGCTCCAAGAGACATAGACTAATGCTTAGTCTCTGAATATATATAATTTTGATAGTAACAAATAAGCCCATTTAAATTGAAAAGGAGCCCTAGGGAGACCAGAGATTCAGAACCTGAGGAAATCTAGACTTGCTTTATTTAGAGCTTTAGCACTACAGAGAGAGCTTGGCAGCGGTGAAAATAATGTGGTTCAGGGACTGTGAGACAGACTACAAGAGGTATAAAGTGTTATTCTGTTGGGACAGCTAGGGACACTTGCAAGGACAAAGGGGCAGCTCATCGCCCTTTTGTTCACCACTCACAAGATTTTTCCAACACCGCAGACAAAGCGTAACTGATTCTGGTAGCAAGAGCGAGTACAGCGTAATAAGCCATGTTAGCTTGCGTAATACTGCTTTCTTAGTCAGGCTCTTTTGATGATAAGAATAATGAGGTCACGTGAAGGTTGATTTCAAACGTACTAAAATGTGTGAAAATGAAATTACATGAACCAAGTAATTCACATGATGGAAACAAATGATCATCTTGCTTGAGCACAGGTAACATGAAGGTGTATGAACCGTTCATACATAAATATCTAATGTGTGTAAAAATTACACATGTGTTTCCCCACCAGCACCCCGTTACATTCAAAGGAATGCATCGGAAATACTGTATGATCATGTATTTACTGGGGTATCTGTTTTGCAATTCATGTTTGGAAATACCTGACAATCCGGTCATGGCATACATGAACGAGGTACTTGTGCATACGAAAATGAAGGATGAGCATATGTTTCAAAGGTATAGATTCATATGAAATATATGCCCGAAGTTAGGAAATATCTGAAAACATACGTAAATCCGGTCATGGCATGTATTTCCTACTCTATTTACGTTTATTTCAATGGTTTACTATCCGGTTTTTGGTCCTGTGCTTGTTCCCGGTATCGCCCCGAGATTTGGTCAGATAACCGCCCTAGGGGGTTATATGATAACCAACCTCTGGAGAAGGTTGGTTATCCGATAACCAACCCCTTGAGAGGTCGTTCTCAAAAATGAATAACCCCAGATATTGAACCGATAATAAACCCACGTGGTATGTAGAGACAAGCTGCCCTAAGAGTGACTCTGCAATATGATATCAAACACTTCCATTAGTTCAAAGGAATCATACACAGAGATTGAAGTATCAATAATTCTTATCTTCAGTGATGTCCTGTGAATAACTGCCACTCCACCTCCAGTAGTATGCCTCTGAGGAACATGTAGCAACTTGTATCCGCTAGGAGTCATTTCAGCAATTAGCGAGTCATCTCCCTTTTCTCTCAACCGTGATTCAGTAATAAACAAAGCATCCCAAGTGTGGCCAGACTCATGGTACAAGGTACCCTTATTAACCAAATCAAAATAACTAAATAACATCTTAATATAATTTATTTGTGTTAAAACATAATGTAATCAGTTACACGTATTGTTGAAAAACAAGGCTATGTCTCAAGTGGATCATTACGCCAATTCCTTGCTTTGTAATTAAACCTTCATCAACAGAACAAATTTAAACGCCGTTTTCAGTGAGTTGAGAAGCGGTTTCTGATTGATCGCAAGGCTTTTGAAAACTTTGAGCGTCTCTTTTTTTCACCAGGAGAAACATATTTCTGATGTCTCTTCATGATCTGTTCAAGCACTGGCAGGACACTGGTATCTCTCTCCGCTGAGATCTCCACATGTCCATTTTCCCACTCGCAGCTGATGTTCAGATCTCGGTACACTCTTTCTGTCTTGTCTACAGAGTCAGCAATGTCTGTCTTGTTGGCCACAAACACAATTGGGACTAATGGCCCCTCTTGCTGGATGATCTGGTCTCTGGCTGCTACCACAGCTTCGAAGGATCCATCACACACCAACGAATAGACCAACACATAGACGTCACAGGAAGGGAGCTTCTGCATGAAGGGGAACCTCGCCTTGACTGTGATGTCCACAGTATCCACCGTCAGGCTTCGTCCTTTGATTCCCAAATCACCACAACCTTTACTTCTTTTCCATTTTTTCTTTTCTTGCCTGCTTAATTCTATCCAGTGCTTCATGAGACGGCAATTGAAGGTTGATTTTCCTACACCTTTATGCCCCAAAACAGTCAGTTTGAATGTGTCCTCTTCTTTTTCCGAGTTTTCTGTCAAACTGAGAGTGAATTGGCGAGCCATTTGTAAGGCAAATGTTGTTGATACGTTGCAGTGGTATCGCTTGCAATATTCGTTAGAATGTATTCTTCCAAATTTATAGCTGCCAAATAGTCACGTGATGAAACTATATTACGTTTTTGTCATGGAGATGTATGTATGATGTGTTTGTAGACATGTTCCCTGATTTACCATGACACCCCCAGCCCTTACTATGTGTGTGTATTATACTGTTTATTGCACAGCTGTCATTGGCCATAATAATGTGTGAACATCATTTTCATACTCCCTCCCATTGACACACCTCCAAGACACGCAGTCTGTGCTTGTGATGTCATCTATTCTTTACACTCACACAACCATTTCTATTTTAACATTTATTTGGTAAAAGAAGTTTTTGGAGGCGCTGCCTGTACCTTAAGTTCACAGTACTTCACCTTGGTGTATACCATATACCATACCTACATAACTTGACAATGATTATGTGGGTTTTAGGACACATTTAGGGTTAACGAACGTTGATTGAATAATATGATGTATTTTCAAACAAACTTCATTTTCATATGCTTTAAATAACATGCTGTTTCTATAGACACGGTCAAATGTTTTTGACAAACCAACAAAGGTCAATTCTAAACGGTTCTACTTCACACACACACACACACACTTATTGACATGCTATTTTGATACAAATATCGCATTGGTTGTGAAATGTCCGTTTGTAAATCATGTATTTGTCCACCTACGCTGACATCATTGTTGCCAAAACTGTAAAAAAAGGGAATGTCCGTTTATATAGAAATTGGAACTGCACGTGTGATATCTCGACCTAAGTGGCAGTTAAACGACTTCAACGTCTGAAGGGTGGTCTACAGAAAGTAAGAGTATCCACGGTATCCTTTTTGGTGCCTTAAATTTGAGCATTTCTGAGACAAAAATAAATTGTTCCAAAATGTCCCACATTGGTTCAAATTTCATCGAATTCCTTTTTGGAGAACGTGATTTAGCAGCTCATGATAACGCTACCACAGCAGTTTGCTTCTTGTTTGTCGAAAGCCGAATGCATGCGATACAAACATCACAGCCTTGTGGGTTTTATGACACATTTAGGGTTAACGAACGTTGATTGAATAATACGGTGCATTTTCAAACAAACTCCATTTTCATATGCTTTAAAAAACATGCTGTTTCTATAGACACTGTCAAAATCAAACACCATATGGAGATGACAGAGACCTTTCTGTATTAATTTGAGAAGTTTGGTCGTCGATGTGTTCAGATGAGAATCACTGTTATGCATAGGAGAAAACACTTCCCCTCGGTTTTGGTAGAGAATGTAAAAGCGAGGGAGGAGGGAAATCCCGAGGTTTTACATTCTCTACCAAAACCGAGGGGAAGTGTTTTCCCTAACATATAAACCGTGAAAGATGGATAATTATAATGTAGATGATCATTTAATGAAGCTACATAACAATAACTGAAGCGCAAGTAAAATCAATTTAATGACAGTAACTATAACTAGATAATTCATGCCCGACGTCTTCGTCGGCTCGGTGGCCGTGAGGCAGAGTGTCCGCTTATTGATCTGATAGTACCTGCTTAGGAAAACATTTGCACTTTGAAATTGATCTTGAACATTGATTGAATTGATTTCAAACATTCATATTAGTGTTTGGAATTGGTTGAAATCTCACAATTGATGATTGCTTCATTACCAACGAACAATCATCGAAAAACAAATTGGTTAGCGTCATTTTTCAGATTTTCCTATCCAGCTTGTTACTGCAGAAAAGTATAACATGTTGCAACGTGCTACATTAAAGTGATGACTAATGTATCATGAACAAAAACTTCCTGGAGTCTTAGAGAAATATTCAGTCAGGACTTTTCAGTTAGTGAAGTCAGTTTTCTGAGAAATAAACATGTTTTCAGGCCCTGACAACTTCTAAGATATGTTCCATTGTCAAGTATTTCAAAGACTTAAACAGTAGTTCCAAAATCGTTTATATTCGATTATGAGAAAATGTGATCGATTGCTTGGTCGTTTGGTGACTGCGACCAATCTTCGATTATTTCAATTAATCGGAACACCACTAATTCATATATCATTTGAATGTTGATGTTCATATAGAGTTAGGAAAAAGTAAAACCTGGGAAGAGGTCTTACTTATAAAGCGTAAAACCTGGGAAGAGGTCTTACTTACAGAAAATAAAACCTGAGAGCAAAGAAAAACCTCAAATGCGGTTATTCCGGGAAAGTTAATATATAGTGAGAAGCACACTTCGGGTTTGTATAGCACGCTTACTCACCAAAACTACCACCTTGAATCTGGAGGTGACGTCGACAAAGTAGTTATGTAGCTTCCACATTATCACATATACACTAGGGAGTACAAATACATAAATCATTTATTGACATCATTATAAATGAAACCCCGTCATTAAAACTACTCATTTCGAACTTTAATTAACTTAAATCGACCTTTTTGAGAACCTTCCGTGACGTAATGTGAGGTATGCATATGAGGGGCGATGTAGAATTCATGTACATTTCCGAGGGTAGATTATTTGGTTTACAGGTTTGTCTAAATCGTGACAATTGTTGTGAAAAATAAAAGCTTTATGTTTTCACAATTTACTATCTTTTTATCTTGTCACCTGCTTTGCCTAGCTTCCGAGTTACTTATTTTCATTGACGATTCTGTCAAAATCGCAGTGGGACATTAGGAAGGGTGGATGCCCATCAGATGCCATTATTTGAAAATATCCGCCGTACTTGTTGTCTGATTGTAATAAAGTATCCCAACAGTGTATGATTTTTCAGATTTTCTGATGCTTGGATGGTATAATGATTGATCCAATTTGATCCTATTTCTATGTTTTCACCTCGATATTTAATCATGTAATGTAAAGATATGATGTCTATTTCCTGCTTTGATATTAAAAACACACATTTGATGTATTTGAATCCGTAAACTAAACACCCAACTTTGCCATTGTTAGAATAATCTTACTTGGGTAAATAGGTAATAACAATTTTTAACTAAGTACACAACAAATGCTTATATGCATTAATACAGTTCAGTTCGTATTCTCAAAACAGTGTCGGCCCATATTTGTTTTCAGGTAATCAAACTTGCATGCGATACAGCGATTACTACTCTCTTGCTAACCCTTGTTTGGTGGTAAACCTACACATGATATTTGTCATCATTCACTTAATGGTCAGTTAATGAATTTATAACAGATAGACTTAGTGGCAACACCACTCAGATTACCCGACAAAGATTCCCATTTTGTCTGGAGTAAATGATGACATAAGGTCTGATGTGGCAAGTGGATTACATCTTATGTAATATGTGCATTGAAGTGCAGCAAGACGATTTATCAGCTGAGTTACAAAAAACAAACATCGATCAAAGGATTAACCGATAACATGCTGATTGATTAATTGCTTTTATCTTGCAAAGCGGATTTGTAGTGTTTATGTATGTGGATTTACTAATCTATACTGAATACACCCTGTCGTAAAGTGTCTGTGTAAAAAACAACGTCCTACTTTCAAAGGATTAACCGCCAATACATTGATTGATTGCTCATTATTGGCTAACTAAATTAACTTTTTAAAGAATGGCGGACATCATGCAATTAGTTGCCAGGTGTGCTATCTTGGGTGACCAATGGGTGACCAATGGACTATACACCAATGTGAAAATACTGAAACGATAGATCACTTTCGTATATTAGACTGTTAAAAGATACATGACATGAAACAGGATTCTGTGTCAGCTGCCGATGAATGGCATATCGTTCCTTTATGTGGATATTGATGGATATTGTCACTTCCACCCCCCACCTCACTTCCGTGAAAGAAATCATTATGTTACAAGTTGTGTCATGCACAATCCGTTTTGGTCATGATTCAAATATGTATTTAACTACGAATAGAGAGTAGATTTGATTTTTTAACTTGATGAAAACAAACCATTATATCATTGATTCTCAAACAGACTTTAGCCCGTGACGTCACGATTTTCAAAAATGGCAGCGCCGTGTCGCGAACATCAGCCAGTCTGAGAATAAATGCTATTTAGGTTTGTTTTTACCGAGTTACAAAATCAGAACTACTTTCTACTGGTAGTAAAATATGTATCTGATTGATGACCAATAGGATTTTGCATGACATAGCTTATAACATAACAATTTCTCTCTTGGAAACGAGGTGGGTGTCAATATAATACTACTTACAATATTATTGTGACTTCGACCACAACCTCGCTTCCGTGGAAGAAATCGTTGTGTTACAAGTTGTGTCATGCAAAATCCTTTTGGTCATTAATCATATACATATTTTACTACAACTAGTTTGACTAGTTTAACTTTGATTTTTGTAACATCCGTGAAGTGATCTGAACACAAGTAAGATATCGTTCCAGGCTTCCACAACGCTCGCTTCGCACTCACAAATATAACCCATTCAGCACGAACTGCGGGGTCCGGTGGAAATCTGTGCATGGTGACACCATCACCCGACCCCTGGGAGCAACTGATGGCAACGCAACGATTCGGCCTGTCTTCGTTGACGTCGGGAAAGCAGCAAAATGACGAGCTTGTCATACACTTTATATACAACTAACCGAAAATCCTTCCTCACATAACGTCACTTCCGGTTTGCTGCAGTGCTCTGGCGACAGAGTTACGTAACCTCTTCGTTGGCGGGCGAGAGTGAAGCAGACGACTTTTTGGCAACTTTTAATCGCTCGGTATTAATTTACCACAAGTGTTTTAAGAAAGAATTTGGTGTTTTAACACATATTAAGCAGTGTTGTCTCCATGTATGTAGTATCTGAATGACGTCACCGCTCAGTTCAATCACATTTTGTCACCTACTATGTCTACTCCTAAGATTTTGTCACCTGAATTTTTACACAAACTGCAGAACCACTTCCTGGTACGCCCCAACTCCAATCTGAACCATCTTATGACCGTGACACATCTTCTCAGTCAACTCAAAAGTCTCACTC